TTAAGGCCTTAAATTATCCAGGTGGAGTTTGGTTCCTAGTCCATTTAACTCCAAAGCCTATTCCTTTTCTGGAAAACCCAGAATAAAAAAGAAAATACACACCTGTATAAAGTCTCCAGAATTCTACACAAGAGATCAACTCATTCACTTATTTATCTGTGCGGGGCCTTCCCTCTCTTCCCTCTGGAAAAGGTGGAAGAAGGAGCAGACACTATTTAATTAGGAACTTTGAGTGTTGAGAGGGGTGGTTACCGCCATGCCTCATCTCCATGGCACCTTGACATAGCTGTGCCCATACAAAAGGACAAGTGCTAAAAATGCCTTCTACTTTTACAAAGCACTCTTCAAACAAGGATCTCAGAGCACAATATAATTAATAAAATCACCCACATCCTGTCTAAATGAGTAGCATTCTATATGTACAAATTTCTCTCTGCCCCTAGGCCCTCCAAGAGTAGGAGAATGTTTCCAATTTGAAAGAGTGAGCAATCAAGTAATTGAAAGAATCTGAACCTTGGCCAACTCCAAGGACCTCAAAGGTATTTATAGTAACCCTGTATGAGAAAACATGGTGACCAGTGTGTCATAATGGCTTCTCAGCCATGCTGTGCTAAATGATTCAAAGTGGAAAAGACAGAGCAATAATAAAATATTCAATTCTTAAGAGTCAGCTGCCCCTGGGATCAATATTCTTATCTGTTTGGTCAACTCTTCAAAGGATCTAGAAGCAGGAAAGTGATGACATCAGCTGGTGATCCAGTTTCTTGCATTAATCAAGGCAGAGAGGACTGACAGGGCCAATTAAGTAGCTGGGCAATCCACTGATGGATGAGTCATGGGAAAGTGCAAAGATAATGCCACTGGGAAAAACAGTTTAAATCATTCATGCAATTCAGGCCAGGAAATCCTTCTTATGCTTGAGGAGGATCATTTAGGAATCATCATACCTAATCTGATGAAGTCATCTATTTATTGTGCAACCAACAATCAACAAAAGAGCTGAACACACAAGGGGACAAGCCATATGGAATACATTTTGGTCAGTGGGATGTAGATCTGTGCCTTCATTTGAATCACCTTCTTTAAGATGAGTTTTATTCTAGCCCCTCTCCTCTTTTCCTTCTCCAGTACACAATCTCCCACTACCCCTATGTTCTCGTCTTCCTAAACACACAGTCTAAGTGTACAGATGAAGTTTTTTTTTTAATAATAACACGTACTTTCCTTCCTCATTTTTGGTTCTGTCCTTCAAAAGATTGTTTTCTGTACATACAAAAATTTCCAAGGGGACATTTCAACATGTTATAAAACAGTTATTTTCTTTAACCACAAAGGGAGCTGTGCCTATGCAACAGAATTTATGCAAGTAGTTCTAAACTTCTCCAAATCCTTTACTTGCATTCATGTTGCAAGTGTGGAATTTTAGGGGAGTAGACTTATCTTTCATAAGGAGGTGTGCAAGAATCTGAAAGCTCATATGAATTGAAGTAAACCATAATTACAGCTACCTGTTTCTTTAAAACCAAAGTCCAAACCAGGGGAACCAAAGAAAAGGTTATTTATGACTGCCATGTTGATAACTCCAATGAACATTATTTCATCATCTCCTGACTTCCTCCCTGACTGTACCTGTCTATCTCCCTTTGAAATGCACCCTCCTCTTACCAACCATTCAATGTTGGATCCCTCAATTCCTGCACTCATGAAATTTTTAGACAGTCTCTTCATCGTTCCAGTCTTGTCTTGCCCTATACTCAACCACATCTCACTGGTTCTCAGCCACTCTTTTTGCTACAAATCATAGGACTATTTCATCTGTTTCCTGTGTCAGGAGTCCTCTACTCTGGTTCTTTGTCTTGTTAACAATAATCCATCCTTCAGATCTCAGCTCACTCATCATTTACTGATTTCCTCAGACTTACTTCAATCACTCTACTATGGTCTCTCCTAACACCACGTAACATCCTTTATGGCATTCGTCTGAATTGCAACTTTACATCCATTTGTGTGATTATTTGATTAATGTCTGTCTCCCCAACTAGACTATAAACTCTTCCTTGTTTCTGTTTCTTCTCTTCCTGTTGCTCCTGACTAACCTTGCAATATGTACTTCTTTTCTTCATGGGGCACCATAGCTTGAACTGACCAGTGGCTTCCTCTGTCTCATAGAATCTGATAATTATCTTTTTTTTCTCAATGCCCCTCAATTTCTAGTCTTCCTCCAATCATTGGTTTTCTCTAAAATTTTCTATTCATACTCTACTGGCAAGAAAATCTTACCAGTTTAACTCTCTTTGGCAAACTTTTTATGATAAACCAACACATGGCTCCCAGGCCAGCACTCAAATGGAATTCTCTTGGATTGAGCTTGTCCTCCATACATTGACTGTGGCCAGCATGGTTGAGAGGACTGCTTTCCTGAGAAAGTACAATAAACCAGATTCTTTTTCCATCACAATCTGCTTGCTGAGAACTGGCAGAATTGGGGAAGGCTCTCCCTTGAGAACTGGGATTGGATGAAAAGATGAAGAGTAGTAACAGAAAACAAGCAGGAACAATTGAAGCATTCAACAACCCCCTCCTTGGTTGGTGTTCCATGCAATGAAGTCTCCATTCCTTGGCATACACTGTTAACAAATTTAAAATGTCACAGAAGTCAAGTCCATTTAGGCCTGAAGAGCAACATAAAATCTCAAGGAAATATCTGAAATATTTTGGGAGTGATGGAACCAAAGGAAAAATGTCAGATGATTAGATTTAAAAAGTACCCTGTGAGGGCCTGTCTATTTCTGGTTCATTCTTATTACTTAAGGGAACCCCTTCAGGCCTCCATCCAAGGTGAAGGGGGTACCAGTCCTCCCCTGTAGCAAACCTTAGACTCTAGTCCTCGATGCTGTCCCCCAGCTGCTCACAACATGAAGCTGCCAAAATCTTGTTCAGCCCTCAACCTGTCAACTGCCTTACTAGAAAGTGACAGTAGCAATGATATTAACAGGTGTTAGAAATAAGTTTTACTAAGCTTGAGGAGATGAGTTGGCCACCATCAGTTATCTGGGTGGACATCATCAATTTCTTCTACTGGGCAGAGCAACATAATGTAGGATTTAATGGCAGATTCTAGAACCCAATTTCCTGGGTTCAAATTCTGGCCCTGTTACCTACCAACTGTGTGAATTTGGGTGTTACTTGTCTCCTCATGTATAGCATGAGATTATAGCATCTACCTCAATAAAGTTGTTGTGAGGTCTAAAATAATTAAACATCAAATGCTTATAACAAAGTTGACATTACATGTTTGTGAGCTACAATCATTATTGCTGATTATATTATTATCATCTTTTACAGGTCACCTCATCTCATTATTTGCCACCTGTATTATGCAGGACACATTGGGTTGTAGGTGAAATTCAGCTCAGAGTAGTTTTAGTAAGAAAATGAAATGTATTGGTTTACACAACATGGAGAGTCCAAAGGATGTACTTAGACACTGCTAGACCCAAGAGTTCCAGTGATGCCAACTAGAATCTTGTTGTCTTGAGTCTTGTTTTTCTTCTGAGTCAACATCACTCTCAAGCAGTTTTCTTCCATATAATGGCAAACGTGTAACTTGAGGGTGACCTTGTTTTTACGCTTCCTCAGTAGATCTGAAGGACTCTGGTAGTGTTCCATCATTGAACCAATTATAAGGGTGATGGAGTATTCCAATAGGCCAGGTCTGGGTCACACCCTACCCCTGTATCAAAGAGGAAAAATGGGGCCAACTCTACCTGAACATCATGATCCTCTGGAGGAAGGATGCTGAGCAGGAGTTACCCACTCCTCAACCCTTTGTCAATGCATATGAGGCCATGTTTCTAAGAAGAAACTAGAAGAATGTGATTGAATGTTTACTGAAATTTTTATCTATTTTCCGACTAAAGAGTTACAAACACCCAGCAGTGATGTCCAAAATATTGAATAACGGGTAGAGTAAGAGATGCTCACTTTGAATGGATGCCCAACCAATTAGAATGATCAGCTGTATTAGTAAATTCATGCTTAATAGAAAACCTGCATCAAATGAAACCTTGGACTGATTTCTACAGGACTTAAATACTCAATCCTAGTCAATCTTCCATATTGAGCAACAGCTCTCTGGCTTTATCTACTCACTTACCTGATTAGAGGTAGAACTGAGTTGACAGGTGTCTATTGAACTCTTTCTACTCTTTAGTTCCCTTTGTCATTTCATAATGTGTGATCTCCCCATGGGGACACACACTTAGGAGAGAAGATAGCTTTTCAGCTGAAGCACCAATAACCTTGAAATGGACACATGTACATTTATTGATCTGTTTGGGGACAACTCTTTTTTTCTGGCCAGGGAAAGCAGAGGTTCCCCTCTTTCCTTTCCTCCATTACTCTACTACCACCAGAACCTCACAAAACAGTCCTGGTCTCTGCTGGATCCATCTTTGTCCCAGGATGTGCTACCCCTTTAAATTCAGACTGGATGAAGTATTCTTTGACTAGAGACCTAGATGAGGGGCAAATTAATGGGCAAGCTCAGCTTGGCTAAAAAGCCTCAACCAACAACTGGTGTGGAGTTGAATGTGTGTGTGTGACTCCTTGTCACACTTTCTTCTTCTCCTAAACTGGTCTGTTTATGGTACTTAGCATAGGGTCCATAAACAACAAGTATCTAGTAAATGATAATTCACCTTCTTCCTTCTTGTTACCCTTTCTGCTCCCCTACTTCCCTGCAGCCTAGCTTGGCTTTAGTTGCTAGCAGTATCTAGCAGAAGCATCCCCCCTGAATCCTCTCTTCCAGGCTCAGGGCAGATCCTGGGCATCAGTGCCCACACCTGCTCCCCAGGAGGTACTTCCCCACCCTGCTATGACCCCCTCTCAGCTAACAAAGCAGCCTACACAAAGACTTAGGCACACTTGCCAAGACAGTCTGACTTTTGCTTCCCTCTTCCAGATGGGAATTGATGGATTTCATGCCTGTCTCCTTTCAGGCTTGCAGAGAGTACAGCAACTTGCCAAAAACACACGATACTTCAGACAGAGACTGAAAGAAATGGGATTCATTATCTACGGCCATGAGGAATCTCCAGTGGTCCCCCTGCTCCTTTACATGCCTGCTAAAGTAGCGTGAGTATCCAAGGGCCCTCAGGAGAACATCTAAGCCCCAGGACATCTGACTGATGGTGCTTTTGACACCAGGAGGCTCTTTCAGCATAGGTATTGCTTATGCACATTGAGCAGGATGCCAAGTTCAGAATTCACTTGTCCAGCTTCTCAGAAGTCGTCTGCCATCAGCAAGTCCTTTTCATGAGTTTTATGGGGAGGGAACCAGGTGGGAAGGTCCATCATTTTCAATCACTGTGAACTGTTGGAAGTCACTTACCACCTGAGGCCTCATTTATAAATTAAAGATGATTCTGCACCTCCTCCCACCCCAAGATATTTCTCAGGGACAACTTTAGAAAACCAAATCTCCCAACATTTAAAATCAACATTATCAGGCTCTGTGTTTTCTCCCATTGAAATCTCAGCCATCCTTATGAGAAGGTAGCCAGATTTCTAGTGTGGGGAAACTCAAGTTGAATGCAGTTAAATAGCTTCCCAGTATCATACAGGTTAAACAGTAGTAAAACCAAGAGGTAAACCCCAACCTAGGCTTACTCCAAAGCTCTTGCTTTTAACACCAAATGTTAATGCCTCTTCTGTAAGCCTATTTGGGGTTATTTCCCAGTGATTACAATGCTGAAGTTGAGCACCAGTTGCAACAGCATAAAGAGAAAAACATGACTTTTTATCAGTATGGCATAAATGATTTTATACATGAGCCATTCTTCAACATGCTACAGACTAATTAACTCTGTTACTAAAAGGAAGTTAATTAAAATACTTCCTAAATGTAAAATGTGTCTCATGGGGAAGGACAGTGTATAGTTCAGTGGTAGAGTGCATGCTTATCATGCATGAGGTCTTGGTTTCAATCCCTAGCACCTCCACTAAAAAATAAAATAAAACATAAATTCATATGAACAGACCAGAGTGGAGTACACACATACAAATGCACAAATGCCTGTGTGACAAAGTTCATGGTGGAAAGTAATTTTCAACATATGTTTATCATATTCTCCATGTCTTGACTCTCCTTTGGCATAACTCCATTATTAGAACTTTCTGTTTGGTTCTCTAACAGCTTAAATAGATGGGCAGAGTATTAGATGTAGTACAGAAATGAAGTTCTGGGGCTATTTGTTCAGAACTCAATGGGTAGGACTGAGTTATACATTCCCAAGAGACTAATTCTTCAGAGTACACTCTTGTGCCCCTTCACCCAGCAAAATAACAAGCAGTTAAAACACACATACAAGTTATCTAGTGAAGCACAGCATTCCCACCACTTAGCCCTTTATGAATCTGGGTCCAGAAATCAGTGCCAGGAGTTGCCAAAAAGATTGTGTACTACAGACATGTCACAGGATACTACACTGTGTGTTTTGTTTGTTGTGGGTTTTGTCCAGCAAAAGTCCGACCACAGAAGAACGAAATTACTCAAGACTTTATCAAGTCAAAAGAATGACAGGAAGTGACAGACCAACTCCCTGAGCTCCTCCAAAGCTCTTGTATTTATTGAGAATAGTCAAACAAAGAATCAAAGTAAAATATGTCATAGGAATGAGTAAGGGGCATGGTGTATGTACAGAGATGTAGATCAGCAGTTTTAGTTCATGAAAAATGGAAACATTATAATCTTAATTTATACTTATAGAGATTACAATAGTCCAGGATCCAGAAAGTATACAGTTGATAGTACAGTTACTTTAAACCTCAAACAATCATGAGGAAGGTTACAGTGTTCCAAACAATTGATAATGAAAATCAGACCACCACAGAGTCTCCATACAATGATCAGAAATTGTCTAAATATGCAAAGCAACCCAGCTATTCCCAGCTAAGGGCTTAGTCATAGTCTTCTGTGAGCAAGAGCAGCCTACTCTATCCACCTACACCTGATAAGTGAAGCATGTCCTGCCAGTTAGGGCAAGGGATGAGTTATGGTTTTCCATAAGCACAAGCAGCCCTGAATCTATGACCTTGAACTAAGCAAAGTGAGCAAAGCATGTGTCTAATTTTTATGTCAAGAAAATAGATTGTAGCAGATTCCTGTTAGCAAATCAGCTTTACAGCAACTAAGCTAAGTTCCATAGATAAGGTGGTAACTGGTATGGATAAATCAGCCTTTTGTGCTCTTAGACATTTTACTTTGAAGTAGCAGTGTAAAGACAAATTAAAAGAATTGGTTTTGATTATACATTTCTTATGTGCCTACATAAAGGTGAGAATGCATAAAGGTAAGAATATGATTTGGTAAAAACAATCACTACAATATCAAAGTTTGTTAACCCAAGTTTGCACTCCCACACTACTCAGTGCTAATAGCAGGATGGGTGACAGTGAATGGTGATTCAAAGTGGCAGAAAACTCAAACCCCTTTCCATTCACTCTTGGAAAACAAACAAAATCCCACTTTTACTCAGAGTGTTTGGGGCAATGGTGTGTTGTGACTCCGAACTAGACCATGTCACTCTAATATTGTATGATTAGTTCAAATGAAGACACCAAAAGTAAACTTGTTTTATATTTGAAAGTGTAAAGTACACAACACTGGAGAGTAGGTTAGAAGTGTGTTGGAAAGTTCTGACTTTGATGATGGAAGCTGGGATTAGAATCCTAACAGACTGGGAAAATGAGCCCATCCAATGAGAAGAGTACATGAAGAATTTTTAAAAATGTACTGAAATGAAACAATAACAGACAAAGGGAGGGAGTTCCCTTCTTCTCTATGCCAGGCATCCTAACTAGACAAAGCTAATGTAAAAATGAAAATAAAACTGAAAGACAGTTTCCTAGGAAAGTTATACTCTAGGGTGTAATGAGATGTTTGGAATAAAAATGAATTTTGATTCTACCTCTTGCTGGCTGGGGTTCTAGGACAAGTTATCCAACCTTCTGCAGCCCCACTTTTCTCATATTGAAACAGGAATGTTATAGGACCTATTTCATAAGATCATTCAAATATTAAAGGTGATGTCTATCAGCATTTATCATGTATAGCTTATATAGAAGCTACACAGTGTTAGTTGTTATTATTAATAGTATTAATAATGTATATAAAGCACTTAATAGAGTGCTTGTTATACTGTAAGGACTCAATCAGTGGTACCCATTGTTATTACTACAACTACTACTGGTGCTACAATGATGATTATTGTTAGTTTCAACTGAGTGCAAGGTTGAGTCATCATGGTTGCATGGCTTTTCAAAATAACTATTAAAGTCTTTGGTTACATTAATAAAAATAGAACTCTGGGGAAAAGAGTAGGAAACTATCTTGCTATGTTCTGCCTCAATTGTACTGATAGACCCTGGATGACATGTCAAAATATCTACTAGTTTGGAATTTAAGAAGTTTTTTAGAGAGAAGCTAGCATTTCTGAATGTTAATTACATGCAAAGAAAAGTTCTTAAACCAAGTGATCACTCAATGAGGGTAGGAGGCTTAGTCTTAGTTTATAAATGAAGACACCAAGATGCACAAAAGTCAAATTAATTTCTCAGGGTCACTAGCTGTGGGTAAATTCAAGCCAGTTCCATTTGCTTCCTAACCAGAGCTCTTTTCAGAGCACAGCACAGAATCTCTCAAGCTTTACTCCACAGTGGAAAATACACTTCTTATTAAAGCAATGCAGAGTATCAGTATAACATTCTTTAATGAATAAAAGTGCATCAATTACTACAATGGGGAAATCTAATTGGGTTGTCTAAGGAAACAGAACAGGTGAGTTACAGAAGGTAATATTATCTGTTGTTGGCAGAAGCTGCTGGCTAGAGATGGCCTGCTGCCTGGCCTTGTTTCTTTCTCTGATGTTTCTCCAATGGAAAGTTACTATGTAAAGAAGCTTGGGAAACAGGAGTTAATTGTATGACAATGTGCTAGCACATTTTCATTTGCTCATTTTTAAACCTTGGATTTTAATGAACAACTATATGGAAACAAAATGGATAATGTAGAAGAAATAGACAAGTTTCTGGAAACATGTAATCCACCAAGACTAAAGGAAGAATAAATTGACCATTAAACAAATCAATCACTACATGAAATCAAATTAGCAATAAAAAAACTCCCTACAAACAAAAGTCCAGGATCAGATGGCTTCCCTTGGGAATTCTACCAAACATACAAAGAAGAACTCATACCGGTCCTTCTCAAATTCTTACAGAAGTTTGAAGAGGAGGGAGTAATCCCAAACTAATTCTATGAAGCCACCATAACCCTGATACCAAAATCAGACAAAGACACTACCAAAAAAGAAAATTACAGACAAATATCAACTGAACATAGATTCAAAATATTCCTCAACAAAATATTAGCAAACAGAATCCAAATAAAAGATGATATACCATGAACAAGTTGGGTGCATCCCAAAAACACAAGGATGATTCAGCAAATGCAAATCAAACAATGTAATACACCACATCAAAAAAAGCCACATGATCATCTTAATAGATGCAGAAAAAGCATTTGATAAAATTCAACACCCATTTATGATAAAAATCCTCACCAAAATGGGTATAAAGGGAACATATCTTAACATAATAAAAGCTATTTATGACAGAATTATAATACTTAATGTTGAAAAACTGAAAACATTCCCACTAAAATCTGGGACAAGACATGGCTGTCTACTCTCACCACTCCTATTCAACATAGTCTTGGAAGTCCTAGCCACAGCAATCAGACAAGAGAGGGAAATTAAAGGGACCCAAATTGGAAAAGAAGAGGTAAAATGATCGCTATATGCCAATGACATGTTACTATTTAGAGAAAACCCAAAAAAGATCCACACAAAAACTACTAGAACTAATCAAATAATTCAGCAAGATAGCAGGATACAAGATTAATGTACAAAAATCAGTGCATTTCTTTACACTATCAAAGAATCAACAGGAAAAGAAAGTAAAGAAGCAATCACTTTTAAAATAACACCCAAAGTAATAAAATACCTAGGAAAAAATCTAACCAAGGAGGTGAAAAACTTATATGTGGAGAACTACAAAACATTGATTAGGGAAGCTAAAGAAGACTTAAAAAATGGAAAGATATCCCACGCTCCTGAATTGGAAGAATCAATATTGTTAAAATGGTCATTCTGCCCAAGGTAATCTACAGCTTTAATGCAATCCCTATCAAATTACTCAGGACATATTTCACAGAACTAGAACAAAGTATATTAAAATGTATATGAAATCACAAAAGACCCCAACTTGCCAAAGCATTACTGAAGAAAAAGAATGAAGCTGGAGGAATAACCCTCCCAGACTTCAGACAATACTATGGAGGTACAGTCATCAAAGCAGCATGGTACAAAAATAGACATATGAATCAATAGAACAGAATAGAGAGCCAGAAATGAACCCACAAATTTGGGGTCAATATTTGACAAAGGAGACAAGACCATAAAATGGAATAAAGATACTCTCTTCAGAAAATGGTGTTGAGAAAACTGGACAGCAGCATGTAACTCAATGAAGCTAGAACACTCCTTCACTCCATACACAAAAATAAACTCAAAATGGATTAAAGATTTAAACATAAGACAAGACACAATAAACCTCTTAGAAGAAAACATAGTCAAAACATTATCTCACATACATCTCAGCAATGTTCTCCTGGGGCAATCTACCCCCAAACTAGAAATAAAAGCAAAAATAAACAAATGGGACCTCACTAAACTTAAAAGATTTTGCACAGCAAAGGAAACCATAAGCAAAAATTCCCAACAGCCTAATGAATGTGAGAAAATATTTGCAAAAGTTGAAACTGACAAGGGCTTGATTTCCACAATATATAAACAGCTCATATGACTTAATAAGAAAAAAAAACTCATTCCAAAAATGGGGAAAAGATCTAAACAAAAAATTCTCCAATGATGAAATATGAATGACCAATAGGAACGTGAAAAAAATACTCAATATCACTAATTATCAGAGAAATGCAAATTTAAACTACAATGAAGTATCACCACACACCAGTCAGAATGACTATCATTCAAAAGTCCACAAACAATAAATACTGGAGAAGGTGTGGAAAAAGGGGAACCCTCCTACATTGTTTGTGGGTATGCAGTCTGGTGCAGCCCGTGTGTAAAACAGAATGAAGATTCCTCAAAAGACTAAAAATAGACTTGCCATATGACCCAGCAGTCCAACTCCTGGGCATATATTCTGAAGGAACCCTAATTCCGAAGGACACCTGCACCTCAATATTCATAGCAGCACTATTTACGATAGCCAAGACATGGAAGCAACCTAAATGTCCGTCTACAGATGAGTGGATAAATAAATCATGGTATATTTATACAATGGAATTCTATTCAGCCATTTAAAAAAATGACAACATAATGCCATTTGCAGCAACATGGATGTCCCTGGAGAATGTCATTCTAAGTGAAGTAAGCCAGAAAAAGAAAGAAAAATACCATATGATATCACTCATATGTGGAATCTAAAAAAAAATAATGAAAGAAAGAAGACAAATGAACTTAAATATAAAACTGAAACAGACTCACAGACATAGAATACAAACTTGTGGTTGCCATGGGAGAGAAGTGTGGGAAGGGACAGATTGGGAGTTGGAGATTTGTAGATACTGACAGGTACATATAAAATAGATAAACAAGTATTATTGTATCACAACATCACACAGGGAAATATATTCAACATCTTTTAGTAGCTCATGGTGAAAAAGAATATGAAAATGAATATATGTATATTAGTGTATGACTGAAAAATTGCGCTGTGCAGCAGAAATTGATGCAACAGTGTAAACTGACTATAACTCAAAAAAAAAACCTTGGATTTTATTAAAAACTGTGATTTCTCCCCATCTCCACCTACCACAGAATGAAAATATCATCTTTCAGCAGTTATCCTTTTAAACAAAGTCCTGTTGCAACTCTATCACTAGAATCTTTTATGGAGTTTAGTATAACATGATTTCACCAATAAAACATACAATTTAATAATCAATAATGTATTGGGTTTAGTATTTAGTACAGAGTTTGCATTTCCTATCCACTGGCCTCATCAGTGGATGAGGATGATGGTGCACAAAATTCAATGATGCTGTCTCCAGTGCAGTATTAATTTTATTATTATTATTATTCATTATTACCATTATTATTATTATTAATTATTATTATCATTCATATTATTTAGTTTCTTTCTGCCCAGCCAGCTCCAATTTGCTTTAGACAGCACAAACCCAGAGGCCCATTATATATAATGTTCAGGGCAATCATATTCTTTAACTGAAGAATGCTAGGTTTGCTAGTGTAAGTTTTAACTCAGAAGTGCTCCAGGAGGCCTCAGATTAACCTAATGAACCAACAGTCATGTATTTTGTTCTACATTCTTTGGCAAAACTCACTTTCTCTGCTACAGAGAGAAAAGTGCAGACAGTGAAAATGGTCCCTCAGGAGTCCTGAAAACTGACACAAGATCATGGATCAGGTGGTTTGTACTCTAGCAATAAAGCACTTGACTTGCTTCTCAGACAATTATGAGCTCTCATCCCATGCAATTCCATGAGCAGCCTTGTTTGATCAAGAAAGTGAAAGGATGGCCTGTTTTCAAGCTTTCCAGTTAGAAATATCCATTGCCTTGTAACCTCCCTAGTCCAAATCAGAGTGTGAGTCTTGCCTTACCTGAGCCAAGAGACCAGGAAGGCTGTGTGTTTGGTAGGTCTTGGTATCTCCATAGGTTCATCTGAGAGCCTGTGTTCTGTACAAGGCGACCCAAAAGCAGGCAGCTAAACACTAGGGGAATGAAAGATACAGTGGCCTTTCTCTCAACATCTGCATCAAGGATTTCTTCTAAGTTATGACTGGAAGGTGTCTGTGGTACTCTCAGCTGCCAGCCTAAAATAAGACACCAGCAACCTCTTAGTGCTAAGAACAATTCTGAGATGTTTACTCCACCTGTGGACAGAGCATCTCTGTGACTCAGAAACACTGCAGATAGTGACAGAGAACAAAAGTGGAAAAACTCACTTAAGGGCACATGCCTGTGTCTAACATTGGCTCTTGGCACCAAAAATTGAGAGCTTGATATTCAAAAATCATTACTAAGTTTAGCTTGGGAATAAAAAGAGGATAGATGCAATTAAGGGGGAAAGAATTATAGCTTAAAAATCTTTTACTCTGTGTCAAAGAGCTTTGGAGTTAAGTGACCTATGTCACAGGCTGCATCTACAGGTCAGTCCCTTTGTGTTTCTTTCCTTGCCTTCCTCTTGCCCTTCTCCCCCTTAATCCAGCCAACTGGATTTGTTATCCCTGAACATACACATAACAAATGAGGAACATACACATAAAATTGGTTTAATGGAAAATAAAATCATTGTCTCTGGAGTTAGAATATGACTTGGTGTTGGCTCCTGCAGGCACTCTAATCCTGGTTCTGAAATTATAGTCATGAAGTAGAGGCTTCTTGAAATTTAAACACTATGCTATTGGTATTAATACTTTAAAACATATAGGTTTGCATCTAATAGATATTCTTTCTTTAGGCATTTTCATTATGTTATGGTTTTTATTCCTAGGAAACCTGAAGACAAAAATTTTACATATATGCAAACTTGTTACATGAGGGTAACGTGCATCAGCATTTTCTGCTCAGTGTCAAAGACTGTGCACACAATCAACTACTGAGTGTGGTAGGTCCCCTAATATACATGCTCTGTTATGGGCACCATCAAGTGATGGGCTGCCACATTTCCTTGTCGATCATATTTGACAGAATTTCATTACTTCAGTCATCTTCTATTTATTGTTATAAAAAAAAAAGAAGTCAGATAGCCATATTCCTTTACTTGCAGTGTGATTCTGGCATCCCTCAGTTAACCTCATTTTTAATCTTCCTCTTAGGGCTTTTGCAAGACATCTTTTAGAGAGAAAAATTGGCATAGTAGTCGTCGGATTTCCAGCTACTCCCCTCGCAGAAGCCCGGGCTCGGTTTTGTGTTTCAGCAGCACATACCCGGGAGATGTTAGACGCAGTGAGTACACCACAGCCCAACAGAACCTGCAGGACTGGTCTTGAATTCTGGGTTCATTCTTTATTGAGCTCACTTGGGTTTCCCTGGATTTCTCCTGGATGGTTTAAGTAAACAGTGTTTTTTTGAAATAATAAATAATATAAAAATAAATAATAAAACTCATTGCTACCTAACAAGGTCCAACAACATGATCAACTCAGAAGATAGGAAAGAAAATCAACTCAGTGAAGACTGAGTCAAGTTTGTGTTTTGGCTTCACAATAAAACAGATCAAGTAGCCAAATATGCTCAATTAAAAATATTTTTAGGTTTTTTTTTCTTTTATTTAGAACCGTACTCTCTTTTTTGCTGTTTATCTTTTTTCCTTTTTCTTTCTTTCTTTTTTTTTTTTGATGGAGGTACTGGGGATGTGCTCTACTACTAAGCTATACCCGCTCCCCTCAAACATCCTGCTCTTTACTTGTTCTTCAATACAGATGCTGATCTCACATGCTATTTTGGCATTAACTGCCTGAATCCTGACATTGCTCATGGCCACTACATCCACCATTTGAAAATATACTCAAATAAACCATATGTTTGAAAACCAACAACAAAGGCAGATCTATCATGTAAGCCAGTCTTATATGAAGTATAAGTGACTTAAAAACTATATTTCATTGTCATTTGATTTCAACCTGTTTAAATGGTAATATCTAAGACACAAGCCAGATCTGTCAGTCTGGTGTTGATGAACCTGTCTCATAATGTCAGTGTAGTTTAACAAATACTATTGGGTGTCCACTACTTGCAAAACCTGTGACAAAAAAGTCTAAGAGGGCATACTATAAACAAGCATCTAATGACAATACCACACAGAATAAATTCATTTTGGAAAATAAATACAGTCAACTTCAGCAGTGGGAAGGTGTCATGAGTAATTATCTATTAAAACAAGGGATGGCAAGGTCAATGGCAATGGGAACAAGAAAAATTGATCTATGAACAGGTGTTATAAATGCATGGAGATGCCAAGATTTGGCAAATACTTGGATGCAGGGCCCTGGTGGGACAGGGGAATCAAGGATAATCCAAGGTCTGTAGCCCTCCATTGAATGGAGAAATTACAGAACTAAGCATAAAAGTGAGATAAGGTCTATGGTAGGAAAGAACAAATCATCAAAAGGACTGGGGAAATAAAAGAGTCTCAGTTCTAAACATGTTGGAATTACATGTTCATGGGCCATCTGGGGAAAAGAAAATCAGATTCTAGGATTTAGGAAACTACGCAAGGCTGGAGCTGCTGTAATTTGAGGAACTGAGGGACAATTAAAGACAATGGTAGAAGATATAATTTTCTAAATATAAGTGATAGGGCCAAGGTCAGACTCCAGTGGAGGGCCTCCATCCCAGGGTGGATGTAGGATCACAGACGAGGAGCAAGACTTAGATGGAGCCAGAGCAATTGGGAAAGTCACGAGCTAGTGTAGCACTAACCACAGTAAAAAAAAGAAAGCTCCAAGATGGGAAATGAACAAATGTCCTCACAAAAGAGCAGAATGTTCCAGTGGGGTAAGAGATGAGGTGAAACTACTGGATTAGCAATTAGTAGGAACCTGATGTTCCTCAGAGAAGATAGTGTTAGGGGAGTAAAGGGACAGAAATAAGAATTCAAGTAATAAAAAAATGAAGGTACTTTGAGCTTGAATCACACACACAGATCCACATCTTTCTGTTTTACCATTATATGCTTAGGAGTTAACCAGTGTATATGACATAGTAGGTTTACAGTAATGATTTATTGGATGGTACACCAACAACTGAGCAAACTCTGGGTATGTATGTATGTATGTTATGTGTAGTCAGCTTACAATGTTATGCCAATTTCTGGTGAGCAGCACAATTCTTCAGCCATACACGAATATACATATATTCATTTTAATATTATTTTTCACCATGAGCTACTGCAAGATATTGAGTATATTTGCCTGTGATATACAGTATAAACTTGCTTATCTATTGTATATATACCAGTCAGTATCTGCAAATCTTGAACTTCCAGTTGATTGCTTCCCGTCTCCCCTCAAAACAACCACAAGTTTGTATTCTATGTCTGTGAGTCTGTTTCAGTTTAATACATAAGTTCACTTAAAAAAAAAAGCCACATATGTGTGATGTCATATGGTATTTTTCTTTCTCTTTCTTGTTAACTTTACTTAAAATGACATTCTCCAGGGACATTCTTGTTGCAGCATATGGAATTATGTTGTTGCTCTTTATGGCTAAATAGTATTACTTTGTATAAATATACTACATCTTCTTTATCAAGTCATCTGCCGATGGACATTTAGGTTGTTTCCAGGTCTTGGCTATTGTAAATAGTGAAGCTATGAATATTAGGGTGCAGGTATCTTTTGGAATTAGGGTTCCCTCTAGATATGTGCCCAAGAGTGGCATTGCTGGGTCATATTGTAAGTATGTTTTTAGTCTTTTGAGGAATCTTCATACTGTTTTCCACAAGGGCTGCACCAGACTGTATTCCCACAAACAATGTAGGAGGGTTCCATTTTCTCCACAGCCTCTCCAGCATTTATTGTTGTGGACTTTTGAATTATGGCCATTTTGACTGGTGTGAGGTGATCCTTCATTGTAGTTAAAATTTGCATTTCTCTAATAATTAGTGATATTGAGTATTTTTTTCATGTTCCTATTGGTCAATCATATTTCTTCATTGGAGAATTTCTTGTTTAGGTCATTTCCTCATTTTTAGAATAGGTTATTTGTTTTTTCTTATTCAGTCATATGAGCTGTTTATATATTGTGGAAATCAAGCTCTTGTCAGTTTCATCTTTTGCAAATATTTTCTCACATTCATTAGGCTGTTGGGAATTTTTGCTTATGGTTTCCTTTGCTGTGCAAAATCTTTTAAGTTTAGTGAGGTCCCATTTGTTTATTTTTGCTTTTATTTCTAGTTTGGGGGTAGATTGCCCCAGGAGAAAATTGCTGAGATGTATGTGAGATAATGTTTTGACTATGTTTTCTTCTAAGAGGTTTATTGTGTCTTGTCTTATGTTTAAATCTTTAATCCATTTTGAGTTTATTTTTGTGTATGGAGTGAAGGAGTGTTCTAGCTTCATTGAGTTACATGCTGCTGTCCAGTTTTCTCAACACCATTTTCTGAAGAGATTATCTTTATTCCATTTTATGTTCTTGTCTCCTTTGTCAAATATTGACCACAGATTTGTGGATTCATTTCTGGCTCTCTATTCTGTTCCATTGATTCATATGTCTATTTTTGTACCATGCTGCTTTGATGACTGTACCTCCATAGTATTGTCTGAAGTCTGGGAGGGTTATTCCTCCAGCCTCATTCTTTTTCTTCAGTAATGCTTTGGTAAGTTGGGGTCTTTTGTGATTTCATATACATTTTAATATACTTTGTTCTAGTTCTGTGAAATATGTCCTGAGTAATTTGATAGGGATTGCATTAAATCTGTAGATTACCTTGGGCAGAATGACCATTTTAACAATATTGATTCTTCCAATTCAGGAGCGTGGGATATCTTTCCATTTTTTAAGTCTTCTTTAGCTTCCCTAATCAATGTTTTGTAGTTCTCCACATATAAGTTTTTCACCTCCTTGGTTAGATTTTTTCCTAGGTATTTTATTACTTTGGGTGTTATTTTAAAAGTGATTGCTTCTTTACTTTCTTTTCCTGTTGATTCTTTGATAGTGTAAAGAAATGCACTGATTTTTGTACATTAATCTTGTATCCTGCTATCTTGCTGAATTATTTGATTAGTTCTAGTAGTTTTTGTGTGGATCTTTTTTGGGTTTTCTCTAAATAATAACATGTCATTGGCATATAGCGATCATTTTACCTCTTCTTTTCCAATTTGGGTCCCTTTAATTTCCCTCTCTTGTCTGATTGCTGTGGCTAGGACTTCCAAGACTATGTTGAATAGGAGTGGTGAGAGTGGACCAGCCATGTCTTGTCCCAGATTTTAGTGGGAATGTTTTCAGATTTTCACCATTGTGTACCATGCTGGCTGTAGATTTGTCATAAGTAGCTTTTACTATATTGAGATATGTTACCCCTGTACCCACTTTGGTGAGGATTTTTATCATAAATGGGTGTTGAACTTTATCAAATGCTTTTTCTACAACTAGTGAGATGATCATGTGGTTTTTTGTCCTTTCTCTTGTTGATGTGGTGTATTACATTGAATGATTTACATATGTTGAATCATCCTTGTGTTCGTGGGATGAACCCAACTTAATCGTAGTGTATCATCTTTTTTATGTGCTGTTGAATTCTGTTTGCTAATGTTTTGTTGAGAATTTTTCATCTATGTTCATCAGTGATGTTGATCTATAAATTTATTTTTTGATAGTGTCTTTTCTGGTTTTGGTATCAGTGTGATAGTGGATTCATAGAATGAGTTTGGGAATACTCCTTCCATTTCAATCTTTTTTAAGAGTTTGCAAAGGACTGGTATGAGTTCATCTTTTTATGTTCTGTAAAATTCCCTAGTGATGCCATCTGGTCCTGGACTTTTGTATGTTGGGAGGTTTTTTTATTACTCATTTCATTACATTTTATTACTGATTTCATTTCTAGTGATCATTTTTTTCAAGTGGTCAATTTCCT